GAAATAGAGATTGTAGACAGACGATAAGAAAAAGAGAACCAGCATCAGCCGTGACTGACATTTAGCACTTGACATTCTTTTGACTGCGGTCTTGTTGAATGCCTGGAACTCGATCTTTCCTTGAGTCAGTTTAACGAAGCCGATACCAGCTTGATAATTTTCGAGAGCCAAACCCTTGAGTTCTGTGACAGTTAATTCATAGAACGAGTTAGTCGCTTGCTGATCGTCGAACACAGGCTGTTTTTGAACTACTGRTAGAGACTTTTGGTTCACCCACTCGTGTTGGCAGTAAATTAAGAAAAATACTGCACAAGCAACGAAAAAACTCATGGGGAGCTCCTTCGGGATACCAATTGTAGTTGCAACCAAAGCTCCAAACAAACTTGCAAAAAATAGTAAGCGTGCAAGATGTAAGAAGTAAGGACAGTCGATGTAGGTGTGCAGCTTTGTGTTGGGGAAGTATGGTCGGCTCTGCTTGATGTAATGATTCGTTTGTGCATGGACTTCATCTCTAAGTGTTACTGTTACGCCAGTTTCTTCCATTTGAATTCGTGTTGCCTCAACCTGGCCGACCATAGTCGTGTCAGACCTGTTAGTTCCAGCCAGTAGCTTCCCTTTTTCCTAGGAAAGTAACGCAAATGCCATCAATTGAAGTACGAAAATAATGCTATTTTATTAGCTATTTTAAAAATTAGTACAACAGAAAGATAACTACAATAGGTGGAAGGAGCATGATAAAATAAGTGAAGGTGTAAAGTTTGAAGGAAACAACTTAAAAATTATATCGGGGAAAAAATTATATTTTCAAAATCACTTACAGTCAACTCTCGCCTTGCGGACACCCCAATATTACGAACACCTTGCTATTACGGACAGGAGAAAATTCCCCGTTTTTTTCGTCAGTATTACTACAATATGGTAAGGTTGTCAATAAGCCTTTTCATAGTTTAAGAAACGATTCCACTGCGCATGCGATTTTATCCCGAATTTCTCACCTTCTTTTGTTTAATTAAGAACAAAAGAAGGTTTAGACAAAAGAAGGTNTTTATTGTATTTTGAGTTAGGATTTTTGTTTATAGGGTATTGTTTATCACCAAAATTATTACCCTTGCCTATTAATTAATGTTTCAGGTGCCTTGTCACACCAAGAAAGGGCCTAAATTTGTAACATATCCCATAATCTCAACAATTTAGCGATGTATTTAAGAAATATAAAACGCGCGCGCCTGTCTCTGTGTTCTGATATAAACACGATAGCCAACCAATCAGCGCGCGCATTATATTCAGTTACACATACGTAAATAATACGTAGATATATATATATTTATATATACAGAAATGTGCTATATATACAGAAATGTGCAGAAATTCTGATCATTATATATATATATACACTCGATTGCAGAAACGTTGTAGTATATATATATGATGATATTTTAAAGGTGCTTTCTATGAGGATTCATTGCCTTTCGTCGGTGTACGAGCGTATGGTAATGGGTGTAAGATGTGTGACAACGGGACGCTCGTCCACATAAAACATGCACCAGGAATACAAAAACAGGATTGCAAGCCTTGTCCCGAAGGTATAGTACAAGAAAGCTGTTATAACATAACAATGAACATTTTAATCACGTTCGCGGGCAAATGAAGTTGCAATCACAATATTTCAAAACTTGGCATAAACATACCCCAACATATTCTTGTTCAAAAAAAATAAAAAAATAAAATTAAAAAAAAAAAAAAAGCTGACTAAGAATTGACCGTAATTACTTATCGCAATTGAGGACGCTCGCCATTACGAACACCAAGTGACCACGGTCCCTAGGGTGTCCGCTGTAACGAGAGCTGACTGTATATTTTTTTGTATTTTTTCAGAGTGATAAACATTTGAAATATCAAAATGGAAATGAGACGTAAGTTCAAGACTAATTTATTTTACAAAAATGCTGTTGTTGATAGTACTGCTGTCTTTTCACTTGCATAAATCATCCCTTTTATAACTGAAATATATGGTTTTGTACACTTTTAGGTTACTTTTACTTGTCGTAAGTAACACTGCAAAATGTAAGACATTCTTGAATTTATGTCATCTCGCTTGCGTATTGATCAATACTTTTGATTCATGAATTATATTCATGATCCTTAGATTAAGGAGGCCTGGGAACGATCAATGATATACCACTTGCGAAAAATAGGTTTATAGGATATGATTATGTGGTACGAAGCATTTTAGTGTTGAACGCTCTGCAAGGCTAAAATTGCTCTCGAAACAAAAACAAATATTTCATCATAATCACGTGTTATGACGTCCGATCTCACTAAAATCTGCATCAAACATTAATTCAATCTTTATGTGACTTATGTGCAAAAAAGATTTGCAATCGGATAAAACACGTTTATGCACCAGCGTTCCAAACGTGGAAGGTAGCGGTCAAGCGTGAGGGGGTCCAGCCACCTTAATTAAGCAGTTTTCTAATCTGTCTTTATATGCCGTGTCCATTTGTCCATAAAAAGATAGGAAATCTTCGAAATTTGGATTTTAATGAAAGACATCTAAGGTAAATGTCACTAAACTTGACATTTATTGGATTACCTGTAAAAAACGTAAAAGTGTCGGCCATGGAAAACTTTGTCGAATAATTTTTCAAGAACAAAACTAGTCACTTGGGCGGACGGTGGTGGGTTGCGTGCATTTGACAAAATTTCTAATTGGGAGAGTACTAAGGTCGAAAACAAAGACTCGTGCGAAGAAAACGATGTAGTGCATTTCCATTTCATTTTTTCAATTCATGGTTTCCATTATGGCGGACATTGTCTTCATCTCGATGAGGAGAAAAAAATGAAAATTTTCTGCCTGATGGATTTTATTTTCATCTTTCAGTTTTATCTAAATTGGGCTCCCTCTGCTTTTGAGAGCTCCGCTTTTAGGCAGTGCCTAAATATATATATTAGCAATTAGCATTTACCTCCCAACCGAAAATATCGGGATTTTTTCGTAAATGGTAAACACCGACAAAGTCAGACTTTTAAATCGGCCCCAGGCCATATATGAAAAGCAAAAGTCGATATTAGACATTCCATGAAACAAACATGGGCACTATTTAACAATTAGACTACGAGGTCGAGTTTTCTGTGAGAAAAGATAGTCTATTTGACTCAAAGAAAACGAGAAAGAGTGGTCTAACTGTTTTAGCATGAAAATACTAGCTAATAATAAATTATTGAAAACAAAGAGTGACACTGAAAACTTTACTAAACAAAGCAACGGTCAATCAGCAGCACCGTTTTCATTCATCTGTGCAAACTCGACTCGATGTCTTAACGCGCATATAAGCTTAAACTTGCTCTATTTCTATAACTTTTTGTCTCTATTATTACGCTCAAAACTCTCTTTCTAATATTTTTTCCGTTTTAATCAGTCCTTGGGGTCATTTTTCTAATTAATGAATGATAAACTGAACGTATTTGTTTACAAATATTTTGTTGTCAGATCATTCAAAGCCGTGCCCATGTTTACAATTCGCTTAAAAAAATTCTTTTCAATTAACTTGCACCATAGTTCCCCTCTATTAAGTATGCTTGTACTTTCTTTATTGTTTCGCCACTCTGTGATTACCGTTTAAAATTCTTCTTGAATACATGTGAATAAGTTGTGTTTTGGATTTTTTCTGTTATTTGAGGAAATCCTTTTAATTGCCCTAATTCACTATGACGTCACTGCTTGTTTATGTGGGGGATAGAATCGCCAAATCCAATAGAAAATTCAACAAAATTTGCTCCTAGCGAAACAGTTTAATCTAAAATGGCCCGGTTTTCAGCTATGATATGTGTTAATATGTACAAAAAAATATTCTGAGCGTTGGCTGGTTAATCTACTTCTCTTCGTGGATTGATACGGGTTTTAGAACAATTTTTGGTGAATTTGCGTAGATTCGGACCCCGTCGGGCGACCATGATTCTTTGCGTTTAAACAATAGATTGTTGAAGATTGTTTTGATGTGACGTCATAGTGAATTAGGGCAACATTGTCATCGTTATCTCAGCAGTCAGTTGTTTGTCGTCTGTCGTAAGTTTGCACATGAAAATTTCAATGAAATCTGACGGCCGCTTTTTCGTGTTAAAATTGGCATAATTCTTCAGTTTTTAATTTATCTTTACTGTCTAAAACCTCAGTTCCTTTCCTTGATACAGTCTTATATTTTCTACAATCGATTTTTAAAGAATTTTTAGAAAACAAGCAGAGATTTCGATGAAACTTGACCATGCACTTGTTTATTTTTCGCTACTCGATATTGATCGCAGGATAGATAGTGAGTACGTTAGCCAATCAGATTGCAGGACTCGTGATAGTATTCTAGTAGGTTTATGCTAATAATAATTAGCTGTTCATTTGTTTATTTGTCTGTCATTTACAGTACTATATTTTGTAGACTTGAGTAGTTTTACTAARCCAAAARCACTATAAMARTAGTMTTTAGCATCTCATGCWGGATAAWTTTGAAACAAAATAACAGTCATTAATTCATGCTTCGCTTGCTTCGTGGTCTATAGAKTTCATAACATAAAGTCATAGAAAGTTATGCAAAGTTCATAATAAAGTTCTTTACCAAAAAAAGCAAAAAAATCAATTATGTGAATTAACCTCTTACGTCTATCAACAAGCGTCAAATTAATGCACTTCTTTAGTCTATTCTAACACATAATTGTCTGGTTAGTCAATGTCCAGGTCAGTTTATTGGAATAACTAACGGAAGTGATCGAACGGTCACCGAAGCAAGAACAACGAAAGCGAAAGTGAATATAGAGATAGTGATATGATCAAAGTCAAAGCTAAAGCAAATACAGAGAAAGAGAATGTAGTTCGGGTTTTTTGAGGCTCTGTTAGAAAGGGGGGATGGGGGTGGGGGAGTCTAAATAATTTATAATCCTGGTTAAATTTTGGAAATAAATCCGTATCTCGATTTTGTAGACAAATATATCCCTAAAATAAATGACCGATAACAACCGGCCCGCCATCTTAATATGCAACACAAACAATTCGTAGTCTTTAAACTTAATTAGTGGTCAGTAATCCGTACCCCTTCTCTTAAAAACCCTTAGTGATCCATTATCCCGCGATCATAACAGAGCCTCTTTCCTGATGTCTCGACCAACTGTCACTCAAAACAAGACCTGACAAAATGGAATTGCCTGCAAGAATACTGTAATTTAAAGATAGCTCCATAAGCAGTGATATACTTTTTACCAAGAATACTTTGAAGTGCTATTTTACTACAATATTTCACTCTTACCTCAGTTGAAGACATCGTATGGAATTTATGAAGAGCTGCTTTTTTGATGAAGGGAGTAAACACGGAAACATACCGCTCTCGTTTCCAGTTCCTCTCCTAAGTCACTCACGCTATCAGTATGTGCTTAGTCTCCTACGGCAGCCGCTATTAGAATCGTGGGAGAATAGGTTCCCTATGCTTTTCACGCGAAGCGTGAATGGCCGGTTTATTTTTCCGTGAAACGTACGTGATTCAAGGTTTTATTTATTCGTGATTCGTATATTGTAAGATCTTTTCACTCGAATGCACCTTTCGTACTCAGGAGCGTGATCCGTTAAGGAACAGTTTAAGAGAGAATTCTTTTCGTATTCAAGCGCTGAGCGCAAAAAAACTATTTTCTTGAAGAAAGGTCAGAAACTTGTTTGGAAGTGGAGATGACCGTTGAAAGTGGAATTAAAGCGTTAACCCAAAGCAAAAATTTTATTCGAAAATGAGGTTTAGGCCTTCATTTGCTTATTCCCCATATATTTTCTATAAAAAAAGCCTGACAAAGCATCGTTCTAACAGACCGCTTCAACCAGGCATTTTATCATAGTACATCAGTTTCTAACTATTTGCCTTTCGCGGTATATTTGTTATATTTTTTTATTTCAACTGGACAAATGTTATCAAAACAACGGACGTCATTACGACTCTCCCGGTCCATGAAAGTTTTCAGTTGCTGTTGACGCAAAGCAAAAGCGGTTGCTGAATACAAAACATAAGGACTAAAAGTTTGGGAATGTTCGTCGTAACCTTTAGGGGCGGCGACCTGGCAACTGGCAACTTTAGAAACGAGCAAGAGACTGGGGCGAGGGTTGAATTTCAATCTTATTAGAAAAAAACTTTGAGAAAAACATATCTCAAAATTAGTAAGTCTGACAAACTTGAACATGATTATATGAAAAGAACCAAAATTATTTGCTTGTGTTGCGGAAAATTTACGAATCTATTTAATTTATTAAAAAAAAAAAAAAAAAAAAAAAAAAAAATGATCGATAAAACTTTTACTGAATTAGTTCTACCTTACGTAAATCGTTTGAAAATCTTAAAAAATTAGATAGATATCAATAAGTACTGATCATATCATTTTACGACAGCTGATTAGAAGTAGAGAAATTAGTTTGCTGGGTCGACCTTAGTAGCGGAACAACAAGAAGACTGGGTTATTCTACACGTATAGATTTAGCATAATCTTATGCCGAAAAAAGGTAGGCTGATTTAGATATGCTATATTTAATAAATAATAATTATTTTTTAACAGAAGGAAACATTAAAACGTTTTCTTTCTAAAGTCGTTTTGATATTCGTTGCTTATATCGAGATTAAGTCGAGATTCAGTTCAGAACGGTTTAAGAAATCAGTTCAGAAGTTTACGTTCACATTTCCTATGCTTTCTGCGATTTTATTTTAATAGAAACTACATTTTTCGTTACATAGTTTGCGGAGAAATCAATGCCATCCGGCTTACATTAAACCACGAAACGGAACGAAACGAAACGAAACGACACAATAAAATGCGAAACGGGGATTTCGCATTTTACAGATGTCGTAAAATGCGAAACGACAGACTGTAACCTGAGGCTTTGTCACTCACGAAGTTGGATAAAAACTGTGTAGCTCCATGTTTTAGAAAATTAGAGATTACTTTGAATCTCAGTGGGAAGAACAGTGTCAACTTTCCATGTACCAAAAGCCACAAATTTATAAACTATATTGAAATACTTCAACTCGTGTTGTTGTGGTGCCATTTTGAATGCACAGGGACACGTGGTAACTTCATGCATACAAATAATTTTACTATTGTATTTTTTCATGTATTATTTGAATAAAGTATTAAATTTAATTACAGAGTACTATAAAGTAACTATGCAATTGTTTTAACCGCAAAATACTGCATATCGACGAAATATGCCAAGCCAAGGAATACTTCTCGCTGCATTTTACTGCTGTACACTTTTCTACCAAACGTCTACAGCAGTGGGAACGCCTTGTTCCTGCAATCTCAGAGGTCGTGTTTATAATCTAGGCCCACTAGCAAGCTCGGATGGTTAACCGAGGTAAGTTTGCTACTAAGTTAACCATGACAAAAATTGCCATGCTCAGTAATTATTTTCAGGGTTATCGTGGTCCTTAAAAAATCGTTTACAGCCAACACGAGTACTACGAAGCGTCTTTGCTTGCCCTAACCGTCAATCGAGTACCTTTCATAGTTCCCTGCGCCATCTTGAAAGGTAGCCGTGCCTTTATACATCGAAGCGAGACGAACGGTGAGCTTGTAATGATAGAGACGTTTTTTAAACACTTTGGACAATTGTTCACGTCTCTATCATTGCAAGCTCACCGTTCGTATCACTTTGATGTAATGGCGCGGTTACTTTTCAATATGACGCTGTGAGCTGTGAAGGGGACTATTGGGAGGCTATATTCCAAAGAACCACTCAATTATACCTAAAGCCATTCAGTATACGAAGATTAGTACCTTATACTTAAGCCTACCTATTTGCCTGACCTTTTTATGTGTGTCTGTGTTTGTCTATGTTAATACGTTCTGTGACCATCTCTTCTAAGGTTTGAAAAGGATGTGAATGGCTGGAACTTTGCATATAATCCATGTATTCCATTTACAGTAAAAGCCCCGTGTAAAAACGTAGCGGTAAGATATTCAAGTTTATACAGGCTTTACGGACGATGGAAGCACAACCCAAATAGAAATATAAGAGTTTTTGTGTTGTAAACGGGAGACTTCCTTCTTCAGTAATGTGCTTATGTTTAATTGCGAGAGCTTTTTTGGCCCCTTTTAACTAGGGGCATTTATTTGCATTTATTTATCTTCTTTTGGGGATCAAGTGCTTTGTTCCATTTTAAGCCGTTTTTTGCCCCGGAGATGGTACCCATTTTTAAAAGCTATTTTGGCCCTATTTAGCTAGGGCATTGTTCCTATTTTGAGGCTGTTTTTGAGGCAATTACTGGTTAAAAAAAAGACCGTCTCTAACGACACTAATGCATGCAGAGTCTAGGTATATCTAAGTATCAATAAAATCAACAACAAACAAATTGATGTGGAAATTCATTTTGATTGTCAAGTTCACTGGTAAGATAATATTTTCATACATAGTTTAATAAACGAGCAGGAGTGTTTTAGCAGGTTTAAAATCACGAGGCGTAGCCGAAAGAATTTCTAGAATCTGTTGTATAATATTTTCTCGTGCACGCCTCCCCTCTTTACCTATTAGCTATTCTGAGGTTGAAAAAATAGCTGGGTCTAGTTGGAATTGCAGTGCATTGTGGGACTGTTTTAGGAGACAAAGTATAATGCTTTGCAATTCCAACTCGACACAGTTTTTTTTCGACCGGAATGGATAATATCATACTAGCTGTCCGAAAGACTAGGCGCGAAAAGGATTTTTGGTAGAAATGGAGCGGCACTCTCACCAGTCTCTCACTTTTAGACCGTGCGGTTCATCACATGAATTTTGAGTCCGCCATCTTGAAGATTTGGCTAGCTAGTAATAGTGGCAAATTTGTCACGCCTTTGTGTCTTGGTTCTTCACTCGTAAAAACAGAGTTTGTTTACATTTGATTTTACTTGCTATGTGTCGAGAAATATTCCAAATAAAAAGGTTCTTGGAAATTTTTGTATCCGTATCCGGAAATTTTCGAATACGCTCCGAATACGGATACGTGTAGACAGTCGTATCAGCAGATTTTCGAATACGATGACGTCAACCCGATTTTGCGCATGCTCAATAAAAAAACTATCTCTCCAAGGGACTAGACACTAGCGTGCATCAGGGCGGATCATGAAATTTCTGGATACGTATGAACAGTGAAAACGATTCGAATACGCTGCATGTGGACGCAAACATTTTCGTATCCGAAAAAAAAAAAAAAAAAAATTGCGGACGGGGCCTTAGTAAGCAAATTGCAAGATGGAACAAAACCTTCACCAACCCTTTTTGAAAGAGCTGTATAAGATTGTGTAAAAGAAAACTAAACATTAAATGGATACTGGTCAACAAATATATTCTATTTAATGTGTTTCTTGGGGTGCTTGTGACGTCGAGGCCTCAATGCTGTTTGACTTCAGCATAGTATTTAGGCCTCGTTAACACTAATGCATTTCCGATGCGTCTTGGCCTTGCATCAACACTGAAACGATCGAAAACGCTCTAAAGAGATTCAATATGTAACTAGTCCTTGTATTGCTATGTCTAATTTTTCTTTTCTTATGTACCTGCTTGCCTGCCTGCCTATTAAAAAAAATCCAATGGGTTCTCCTGCAGTTTGAAACATCACTAGCGCAGTTGAAAATGAAGATTTTCAAATTGCCCTAACCTCCGGCTCCATTCCATTTCCCATTCGATTTCCTATGAATAAAGTGCTTACGATGTTGAATTGAATCCAATTGCGTTCTTCCCTCAAAAATTGAAACTTAGGTCTTTGTATAGCTCTTGGTGGCCGTTAAGTCCAATAGCGCAGCGCAACCGTGACGTCATAAAAACGAAGACAAAGGCGAAATTCGGACAAACAAAGTTTACTTTCAGCTTATAATTTTCACTGCCGATCGCAGTTGATCTTAGTTTACATGGGTTATTATTGTAACTTTAAGTAAAAATAATAAAATCGGTTCGTGTAATCCTCGTAGCGGTTAAACAGAATGCAATGTTTGTCCGAATCTTTAAGCTATTTTTAGAATCAGTGCGCTGCGCTATTTCGGCCTAGCTTGAAAATAGCAATAAAACTTCTTTAAAAATCTCGGTTACAACTCGCAGGCATCCAATTCGGGTCTGAAGTCGAAGCTTCAGTTGAACTTACAGCTGGTTGATCTTATGGCGTTCGCTGCTTATGCGTCGTCTTTCACCACTATGAGTCCAACGTGTCAACTGCACAACTGGTTCGAGCCCTGCGAACACCACGTGTGCATTGAGTGGTGATATCTAGTATAACTAGCGTGTGCATTGAGTTTGTTTGATGTGTTGTTTGCCCCCCTTGCCACAAGGGGTTTTCTCCGGGTTTTCTGGATTTACTCCCTTCGTGAAAATCAACTTATGAGTCATCGCATGTTGTGTGCATGAATTGATCTCACACAACTGATAGCGCATGCGCACA